CTCTCTGGTCTGGGTCCTTTCTCTCTCTCTCTCTCTGTACTCGGTCTCACTCACTTCCGCCTGCAGTATGGTCGTTAATCCCGGTCATATTTACCAAGCGATCTCTAACTTATTGGGCCTGTGGTGTCGCCATCTGTATTCCACGAGCGGATTCGTCTTGGCCCCCGCTAGCGACCCCCCACCCTCCCGCCCGCCCTCCTCCCCAGCGGTACGCGCCTCCCGCCTCTTACTGTGGCCTTTACTGTGCCTTTGTCGACCTTATTGTAGCTTCATGTGTCTTTGCGGGAGGAATACCACGTTTAATAAGTGTTGCCTATCAGGGGGATCGTCTACTTCCCCTCTCGATCGTTCTTATTATCCTCTCATGCTCATCTTCTACGCTCTTATTTTTTAAGTGATGCTTTAAGCACCATTCCATCTCTCTCCTTGTATATTACCTTCTTAGTTTGATTGGACTTTTTACCAGCTGCCTACTTCCGGTTTGCTTGTCTCGTCTTACGTCCTGGAAGTATTTTATTAGAATATTCTGATCTCTTTCTTGATACTTTTTATTTTTATCCGAATTCCTCGTTTTCTCCATTCAATAGAAATACTGTTTCTATGTGTTCCTTAATCAGTACACCAATCTGTACTGTCTATATAAGTTTTTGCCACTGGGATATTTGCCTGTATATATGTGTCCTCAATTTGTACGTGTCTATATTATTAATGTCAGCTTTTCATTTTTCTTATATTGCTAGTCTGGTTGCGTTGGCGTGCGCTTCTGTACTTTTTAAAGATTAAAAACAGACGGAATTACTGTCGCGTGCGTGAAATAATACACATTAACTGTCGCACCCGGCTCCACTCCCTACGATTTTTTCAGATTCTTTAAATTTCTAGTATATGTCACCTAATACTGTGCGATCTCCTTTCTCAATCCTCTTTGTTCTTCAATATTTTTTTCATTTTTTATTGTTCGCATTGTTATGGGATTTTTTGTCTTACGAGGTTTGAGAGGGAGCCGCTGTATTCGTTATATGGACAATATATAGAGGTGAGTCAGAGATGGAGAGAGGAGGCTCATGAGTAAGCACGTATGAACTTCTTCTTTCTTGCATCCCTTCGTTTGGTTTTGCTCGCCCCAGCGGGTCTCCTATCCCCCCTTTCGTCTCTTCCCTTCTCTGTCCTTCCCATTCTTTCCTTTCCTCTGTTCTTCTCTCCTCTTCCTCTTTCCCTTTCTTTCCTTCTGTTTGTTCGCTTTCCATCCCTTCCCTTCTCATTCCCTCAACCCCTTCTGTTCTCTCTTCTCCTCTTTCCTTTTCCCTCCTCTCCTCTCGTCTTCGGCCCTCTCCTTTCCATTCCTTCCCTCTCTGTCCTCACCTTTTCTCTCCATCCCTCTCCATTCCTCACCATCCCTCTCCTCCCCTTCCATCCCCTTCCTTCCCTCTCCTTTCCCCGTCGCCCCTCTCCCCCTCCCTCCCTCCTCCCTCCTCCCCTTCCCCCCTCCCTTCAACTCTGGATATCGATTAGGATTCGGGGATTAACCTCCTGGGATATCCTGCAGTCTAGGTCACTGATTCCCGGCGCGGTGGAGCTGTCCTGAGCCCCGTATGCTGAGCCGCTACACTGAACTGATTGATTGGCGTCGCGGCGAGTCCATGTCCGCTGTGCTGATGGGCGGCAGCGGGATTGCGCCGTTGGGTCGCTCTCCCGAAGCGTGCTGAGGTGCTACGCTGAGCCACTGTGCAACGCTCGTGCGCTATACTGATGTGTCGCACCGAATTCGAAGCACAAGATCGCTGAAGCAGTATACTCGAACTTCCATACTGAGGTGCAGTATACTTGAACTTCCTTGCTGAGGTACTACACTGAATTACCACTACACTGAATTACCACTACACTGAATGGTTACATACACATCTCGGCTATACTGACGTTCCATGCCGAAATTGTAGCATAGGATCGCTTTCCTGGAGCAGTATACTTGAACCTCCATACTGAGCCACAACACAAGCATTACACTGAATAGATACAGACGCTATACTGATGTATTACGCTCATAACGAAGCAGTAGACCACTCTCTTCGAAGCAGGGTACTTACACCTCCACACTGAAGCACGACACTGAACTGCTACACTGAAGGGCTCCTTACACTGACCCCTAACACGTGTATTCCTGTGTCGTCGTTTCGCTTCGTTCTTCGCGAGGAGAGCTTCACGACATGAAGAAGTGAGGTTCATGTCTGGCTTTTGAAGGGACTGGTTGAGTGTTTGGTCTGTTGGTCTTTTTTGTTCTTGTTTATTTGTCATTGTCTGTTTTCTATTTTTTGTTTTTGTTGATTTGTTGTTGTTTTTCTGTGGGTCTACTTTGTATTTTTTTCTGTTTTTCTTGGTCTATTTTCTATTTTTTTTTGTTTTTGTTTTTTGTTTATTTATCTGTTTTTCTGGGTCTATTTTCATTTTTTTATTTTGTTTATTTGTTTTTCTGTGGGTCTACTTTGTATTTTTTCTGTTTTTTGGACTATTTTCTATTTATTATTATTCGTCTGTTTATTTGGGTGTATTTTCTATTTCTTGTTTTTGTTTATTTGTCTGGTTTTCTATGGGTCTCATTTGTATTTTTTATTGTGGGATATTTCATTATAAACCTCTGGGCCTTGGGACACCCATTGGCGACTTATGGTTCCATTATTCGTACAAAGGAGAATTCACTAATGTGTCTTTTTTCTCTCTTTTCTTATCCTTCTCATTTATCTCCTATTCATTTGGCTATTCATTTTTTTTCTTTCATTCTCTTTTTTTTCTTTTTTTCGCCTTTCCCCGTTTTTCTTTTTTTCCCTCTCTCTTATTTTATTGTTTCGTCTCTTCCCTTTTTCTTCTTTCCTCTCTCCCTTTTCTTCATTTCTCTCTCCCTTCTTATCTTGTTTCATCTCTCCCTTTTCTTCTTTCATCTCTCCCCTCTTTTCTTTTTCTTCCTTCATCTCTCCCCTCTTATTCTTTTTTTCTTCGCTCCCCTTCCCCCTCTTTTCTTCTCCCACCCCCCTTTCCTCTACCCCCCCCCCCCTCCGCCTCTCTCCCCTGTGACGTCACGCATCGTATCAGCCGAGGATGCTCTATGGCTCCTGCATCTGTGATTTACGAGGGGGGGGGGGACTTTTACGCCCGGCGCCAAACAGGTATGCGAGGTCGTATATCGTGTCTCCCTCTCTCCCTCTTCTTTCTATCCCTCTCTCCCTCTTCCTCTTCTCTCTCTATCCCTCTCTCCCTCTTCTTCTATCCCTCTCTCCCTCTTCTCTCCTCTCCTCTCTTTCTTTCTATCTCTCTCTCCTCTTCTTCTATCCCTCTCTCCCTCTTCTTTCTATCCCTCTCTCCCCTCTTCTTTCTATCCCTCTCTCCCTCTTCTCTCTCTCCTCTCTCCCTCTTCTCTCCTCTCTCCTTCTCTTCCTCTCTCTTTCTATCCTTCTCTCTCTCCCTCTTCTTTCTATCCCTCTCTCCCTCTTCTCTCTCTCCTTCTCTCCCTCTTCTCTCTCTCCTTCTTCCCTCTCTCTCTCTCCTCTTCTCTCTCTCTCTCCTCTTCTTTCTATCCCTCTCTCCCTCCTTCTTTCTATCCTTCTCTCCTTTCTCCCTCTCCCTCACTCACTCCCCTATCCCTCCTCTCCCTTTCCCTCTTCTTCCTCTTCTAATTCCCTAGTCCCTTTCCTCTCCTCCTCCTCCTTCCCGTGTCGTGACAGTGTATAAGGGACGGGGTCATACTTGACAAAGCACCCCCTCCCCCCCAATATCCGACCTCTACCCCCCCCACTTTAAATCAGGTCGGACATGCCGCTGACAGGAGACTCACGCCCCGTAGAATATATATGGGGACGACCCGCGCGTGAGATGGATGTTTGGAAATGGCGTATGTTATTATTCTCTCTTCATTTACCTACTCGTCTTCTGGTTCTTTCTCTTCTTCTTCTTCCTCTTTCTCTCTTTCTCATCCTCTCCCTTTCTCTTCCCTCCTCCTCCATCTTTCCTCCCTTTTTCTATATCTATTTATTTCCCCTTCTCTCCTCGTTCTCCTCCTTCCTCCTCCCTCCTATCTATTCTCCACCTTGTCTATCCCCCTCTCTCCCCTACTCCTTCCCTCCCCCTCCACCTCCTTTTTCGCTCTCCTCCTCCTTTCCTCCTCCTTGTTCTCCCCCTTCCCCTCCCCTCCTCATCACATATCCCCTTCATGCCCACCCCTCCTCCTCCCTCCTCCCTCCCCTCCCCCCTCCCACCTCCACCACACCTACCTGTCGCCACGCCCAGCCCTTCTCTCGCCTTCACCTCGAGAGCGCGAAATATCCCTCTGTGAGATGTAATTGCGATAAAAAAGCGAGAAAAAAAGGGGGGAAATAAAAAATAGATTAGGGAGGAGGGGGATTTATCGTTTTATGGCACCGCTTCGAGATGTTTCTGTCTCGTTTTCTATATATATTTTTTGAATTTTTTTGGATTTTTTTTTTTAAATACGTGAAGACTAGGAGAAGTGAAGGGAAATAATGAAAAAAGGATAAATGGAGAAAAAGAATACGAACAAAGAGAGGTACAGGTTAGGGGAAGGAGGGGAAGGAGAAGAGGGGGAAAGAGGGGAAGGGAAGGGAAGAGGAAGAGGAAAGACGGAAAGGGAGGGAAGGGAAGAGGAAAGGGAGAGAGGGAAGGGGAGAGAGTGGAAGGGCAAGAGGAAAGGGGAAAGAGAGAGGGATGGGTGAAGACGAAGGGAGAGAAGGGAAGGGGAAGAGGAAAGGGGAGAGAGGGGAGGGGAGGGGGTCTCCTTCGTGAGGATCCTGGCCTTGGCCCCGTGTGCGTTTTGGCTGCCTCAAAGGACTATCTTAATATTCGCCANAGTAAGATAGAATAACATCAAGAGCACCATTAGAATATACAGCTAAGTTTTGTAATTACAGAACATTTTGTTTTTAATTGTTATTTGATCATAGACAACAAATCATTCTTCATTCAACTGTCACTTGTGCATTTTGTAACAGATGGATGTAAGAGACACATCCATTTAGATTTGTCACATAGTAGAAGTGCACAGGTAGATATAAAAAGCTTGCTCTTACTGAGCTCAGATGCGTTCTGGAAGGGCCGTGGTGTGGGACAGTTACAAGCCCATGTCAGAGGACCATACCAGCGTCTCCAGCAGCGACGACCGCGAGGTAGGTTGACAACAAGGGTTTCAAGCCACTCGCATTCGAAACAAATCATAGATTATCTCAAATCTTTAGAACCACCCTCCCTAGATTGACTGAATTCAATAGAAAAACCATTGATACTAAGATGGCCTGTACATGCATACCATGTTCACAATGATTTGACTATGAATTTTGTTAATACATAAATGCCTCTGCAAGGCTTAGTCACCAACAAGTCAGTAACTAGTCCTTCCTGATCTCACATGTTTACTCTTTTCATTATTTTAAGCTTTTTTTAATCTTTTCTTTTCTTTTTTTCTTATTGCTCTTAGCTTTGATAATAACATTTTGATAATCCAAGTGCCAATCATGATAGTAACATTAATGATTATTAATAGCACTAGAAGAAATAAAACTATTTCCTGAAAATTTAGGGAATGAAGATATCAGGTGAGGTCAGGTAGGCCTACTAATTGTCTTTTTAGTGACTAAATACTTGTGGAGCCATCCATATGTAAACAAAATTCACAAAATAGAACTGCAGTGGACTGTGCAATTACCCAGCACCATGGATTGAAATTGTATTTACCATATTTAGTAAATTTGTTTTGTATTGTGTTGGAGTTCAGGATATTGAAATACCTAACAGATAGTTATGATTATTGCATTGTTAAGATAAAAATCCAAAATAATACTAAAGCAATACAATACCAGCACCAAAGATTACCACCAGGGCCATGGGGTGAGGTGGTTTTGGAAAACGATTAGGGGTATCAAGTATTTTTCTTACTTTGTACTGTTGCTCCAAGTGTTCAAAAGTATTTTCCATCATTTAATATGTGATGATAGACAAATGGATTTAGGTCTGGATATAGTACTTCAAATTTTATATTGTGACTTTTACACTTTTCCACTTGAACTTTTCAGGATGATGTCAAAGATTCCCCTCGCCATGATTACCGATCTGCATCACTGGATGAACTGACAAACATTGGTATTCCTGTTGGGTTGCCTATTTTGTCTCCTGGAGACTTAAAGCACAAGTAAGTTCCTGTGTGATGTCTGTAGTTGTATACATGTATGTTTGTCTGTGTGTGTGAATAACATGAGTGAGTGATTTTATGTGCACACATTTGTGCTTTTAATGTAAAGAATGTAAGTTAGGAGTAAATGCCTAATGCTAATGCTTATGTATATGCATATGCCTTAGACTTTTTAAATATAAGGATAGAAAAAAGTAAACATGTAAAGATAAAAAAGCAATATTTTAAAAGTAAACATAATGTTTTAGATATTTTATCTAATAAAAAGAAAGTCTTATATGTGATTTTCCTTTTTTTCATCACCAGGAATTACCTCTTTGGTGGCTTCTCAAGCCTGCTAGGAGCTTCAGAGCTAGATCGCTACATCCCTAAGCGCTCCATCACCATATTTATTGCAACATGGAATATGAATGGCAAGGTGGTGAAGCAGTTGTAATTTTCTTCCATTGATTATGAAATACGGCATTAAAGAAAAAAGAGACTACACAATCATGTATTTCTATTGTTAATCCTTTACATATTTCAAATTCACAATTCTTTTATACATTAATATATGTAGGCCAATTTGTTTAATGTTCCAGGAGCCTCCTCAGAACCTTGAGGACTTCTTGTTGCCAGAAGCACTTGAGCAGGTTCCTGATATGTATGTTGTGGGCACTCAGGAGTCTGGAGGCAGTCGATCAGAGTGGGAGGTACTCTGAAGTGTTTATGATACTTTGCAAAGATTTTGTTGTTGTTCCTCTTTTTCTTAATGATGATATACAATACAGACAATCCTAATCTAAGGAAAAGAGTGATTCATATTGCTGCGTATCTGAACATTTTATTTTCATTTTAGGTGCGGTTACAAGCAGCTATCGGGCCATCACATGTACTCTTCACTTCTGCAATTTTTGGTGTCTTGCATCTCGTCATCTTTCTCAGGAGAGATTTACTCTGGTTTTGCTCAGGTATGGATAATCCCATGTTCTACCCATTTTCATGTTTTAATTGCAGATGGTTGTTTTAGACACAAGTAGATATAAAGTATCTCTTAAAAGTGCAAAATTATACCACCAGTTATAAAGAGGGAATATTAACTCCCCCCCCTCCCCCCTCCACTGCAGTACCTGAAGAAGCAACTTATAGCCTTCGTCCTGGTGTGGCCTACAAAACAAAGGGAGGTGTTGGCATTGGTTTTCAGTTCTTTGGTAAGTACAATAGAATGAAAAAGGACATTCATTTTTTTTCTTCTTCTTCTTCTTCTTTGCTGTTATTGTTATTGGTGCTATTTCTTCTTTTTTCTTATTTATCATCTCTATCATTTTCCTTTCTCCTTCCACAGGGACAAGGTTGTTGTTTATAAACTCTCATCTTACAGCACATGAGGAAAAGCAACAGTATAGAATCCAGAATTTCCGTAATATTTGTCATTCTTTGGATATTCCACGTCTGCTGCCACACAAGTTCAAAAATAAAGGTTGGAGACATTTTATATGTATTTTGACTTTGTTATTGTTATTGAGGGGAGGCAGTGATAGCAGGTTCTCCATTCTTTGACAACTGGATATTTCCTTACAGTGAATTATTTTAGGATTTTTGCAGTTAGATTCACAGAAGACATATGAAAGTGTTTCTGTTGACATCCTGCTGGTCTCCTTTTAGATGTCACCCATCGTTACGATTGTGTCTTCTGGCTTGGTGACCTTAACTTCCGTCTGGCAGTCAGTCGAGACCATGTTTTTGAAAGACTGAAACAACCTGGTCAAGAAGCATATGAGCATTTGCTACAGTGGGATCAGCTTTCCCAGGCTCAACAAAAAGGTAAGAAAAGTGTTTGGGATATTTGTAGCTATAATTGATGACTCATGGATTCAGTTGCTGTGTAGCTTGTCCCTTTGGTAATCAAATGACTATTTACTTCCAGCTTCTGATGCAAAATCCCCAATTTCAATATCAATTTGCTATGATCTTTTTCCTTTTTTTTACTGTGATCTTGCTTTTGTATGTTTTCAGGTGAAGCATTCACAGAATTTAAGGAAGGAACAATTTCTTTTCCACCAACTTTCAAATATGACCCGGGTACTGATCATTATGACACCTCTTCCAAACAACGTGTTCCTTCATACACTGACAGAATACTCTTCAAGGTAAAGGTGGCTTAATACATGTTTCAACTTTTTACTATATATTGTGATATTCACCTGTATAGTGTAGCCTGTGCTTCGTGATGGGTTAACCGTGTGCCAGACCTTTTCTGCAAGCATTTACTGAAGTATAAGGTTTTGATTTTGGTGATATGATGTCAATTATATAAATGTATGGTTTATGTGATATAGATAAGGGTTAATCATGATCTACTTTTCTTTTTCTTACCATTACCAAGGAGAGTAAATAATTTCTCCATCCCTTTTCAGAGTGGACGTGGCGCTATCACATGTTCCAGCTACAATTATTGTCCTCTTTTTAGAACATCAGATCATAAGCCAGTGTCAGGGGTTTATGAATGCAAAATTAGACCCGGAAAGGATGAGTATGTCTATCATATATATATATATATATATATATATATATATATATATATATATATATATATATTATTATTATATTTTTTTTTTTTTTTTTTTTTTTTTTTTTTTTTTTTTTTTTTTTTTTTTTTTTTTTTTTTTTTTTTTTTTTTTTTTTTTTTTTTGTGGAAGAGATTTATTTCACATTCATCAATAGCCTCACATCTCAGTTAGACCTAGGAAGTTGTGTATTACATATTTTTATCAAGGAATTAGTGTTCAACATGAACTGTGTTCTTACTATTATTGATGTGCTGATTCTTACACTGGTTACATTTTTCAGTGTACCATTGGCTGCTGGGATGTTCAACAGGGATGTGTATCTGGAAGCACTGAGGCGCAGGAGGAGATTCCTCTACCAGCCTTCGCTGAAAAATTGTCCTGTTCAATAAGTTAGCATCCTGAGACAGAATATAAGGATGGTATTTGTGTAGAGCATGGCAGTAGATCTTTTAGGTGGCTGAGGAGATGGGTTCATGTTTACCTCCAAGCAATGAGAAATGCAATCTGTTTTTGTTAGATAAATTGCTGTGCAATAATAATTATTTTGTTATGTTTTATTACTGAAAATGTGATGGTGCTTTAAGAAGCATACATGGTGCAAATGCAGGAGCTAGTTTAGACAAATGTTATATTTTTTTTCTTTTTAATGGTTCTGGAAAAGTAGGAAAACATAAATTTAAATGTCATTGTCACATATCTCGGTGCCAAATTAGAATCTCCTTAACTTTCAAGGATATCATAAGAGTAAGTTGAGTGCATTTAATCAGTGATTGTTAAGGTAGATTAAGAAAGGTCAACAGATCTGTTTTTTGAATCTCAACTGATATTTTCATATGTAATATTTTCATGAAAGACTGTTGTATAGTTATTGAATCTTGCCATCACTTCCTATTGTGATATATAAGCCTACTTAGAGTGACTTGTTTTCTTGTCTTTGGTGAGCCCAAAAATATTTTTCATATGTACAGTAGTTGTGTCTTATTTGGAAAGAGGGTTGATGTGCCTGTTTTAGTAACTGCACAATTTGTGAAATGAAATGTATTCATAGACATTTAGAACAGTTAATCATGCTGTATGGTTTGTGATAAAACATTTGATGTACATTAAAGACCTGCAGATTGGATTGGATATATTCTATCTTTAAAGCTCTATCAAGATTTAATGCTTACCGTCCATAAAAGCAAGGGACAATTTCTTAAAAAAGAAGGAAAAGAGGTAAAACAGTGGTTGATAAGGTCAGCAGAGGGGACACATTCACATTAGGTCACATATCGTCTCAAATGTGGAATGTCACTTCATTGAACTCATCTGTGATGATTGAAGCATTGTTAGATAAAGTAAATAAAGATATTATTTATATTTTATATTTGTTATATATGATGTTGGAAGGCTTTAATGATGACAAAAAGTGTCCTAATGCAGTGGCAGATTCAAAGGGTTTGGTCCTTTTTTTACATACATTAGCTTGTGAATATTCAGGTATTGATTGAGCAACAAAGGTTCTAAATCAAAATGTGCGAATAATCTAAGGCCTGTGAATTGCATGTTATTATTGAACTTGTGTTCATGTTATCATGGTAGTTGCCACCCAATTTGCTGTAATTTGTTCTACCTCTTCATTCAATTTCATCATTTATTTTCCCTGCTGTGTAAGCAAATGCAAAATTTATATCCAAAACATCTGTTTAGAGCTCTTTCTCTAAAAGAAATGTGTTATATGTTTCACCTGTTGTGTGTTTATTATTTTTCAGTTTGTTTATGACTAGACAATTTCTGTACCTGTTCTTTATAAACATACACAGTACCTTTTATGCATCCCATGCAATATTCCCTGATATTTAGATTGTATTTTAAGATAATAGTTTATCCTAAATTTGTTTATGATTAATAGTTGTGAAAAATATTTTACTCTGTGGTTTGAAGGTGCATAACTCCAGTGAATATTAACAGATTTATTTGGTCTGGAAAAATGTTTCAGACTTATTTTAATATACATTGTAATTTCAAGCAGTTTGCATAAGTCGTTCCATTTCTCTTTTTTCCCATTTTCTGTTTTTCTGTTCACTCTTATATTATTTTATCTATATTCCACTCTGCCCTACTTTGCTCTCCATTATCTAGCAATTTCATTTTTCTGTTATTAGTAGTACTTTCATACACATTTTATTTTCTATCATTTTATCGCTAGAAATGCAGGTATCCTATGTTTGTTACAGAAGTTAAAAATTCATAGAGAACAAATAAAGAAATGGTAGCTTACTTTGTGGTGAATCAGCAAGACATCATGTTGGCAGCTTTTCTTAACTGTGATCTCAAGTTATATGCAGTTATTATTAGTAATATATTCAGTCATAAATGAAGAGTACACATGACTCCCTTTTGGTAATATAATTTGATACTGATAATTAATATGAAATATCATTACTAGTACCTAGACAATAGTAAATTGATTTTTCTTCTTAGCAATACATATGACAAGGATACTTGTATCACAGATAAAAGTTTTAGTTCACTGATAATTTGTAAGTGTAATTAATTTCTTTGTTGTGATTTCTTACATTTATTTCTCTCACAAGATTAAACCTATCGACAGTAGCATATCAGTCCAATCTAGTCATCTAGGTTTATAAATGTATTTATTGACAACTCACTACTTTGTGTTTTTGAACAGGTAATGTGAGCTGCCATGAGCAGTGAAATATTATGAATTTCTCTCAGAACTTCCTAATACATATGTGCATTAATCACATTGCTATTTGTAGGTGTTTGAATGATAATGTGAAATTCTTAAGGTTCTGCATATTGAAAAGAAATGTTTGAAAAGTTCAAGAGGCAGCTGTTTTCTTTTAAATTTGAAATTTATCATTTTTTTTATCAAAGTTTTATTCTGAAAGTAATATAGGTGCAATAGTATGTTATGTATGAGTTAGCACTTGGGGTTTTACCTGTAGACAATAGTGTACTTTGCATATTAGCTTGAAAATGTGAAGGCATCAAGTACTAGGAAAAATGCAAATATTGGAAATTCATCATTTAACATTTAGAAGATAAATATTCAGACTTCCTCTTGCAATAGTAAAGATTTGGTAATTAAAGTTAGTGCAGCAATGAACTATATATTAGCTGGTATGTATCAGATTATAGTGTTGGGACTGATGGCATGGAATTAGCTCAGTACCTCTAATATGCATTTAAGTAAGTCTGCAAACTTAAGTAAGCATGCAAACACTGTATTCCAACCAAGATTGTTCTTTGTCTTCTAATATTAAGGTTATAGTTCTGCACAACTAATAGATGAAAAAAATTGCTCACACTCCTTCCAACTTTAATAAGGATAATTGTAGTTTTGCTATCAAGAGTTGTTCAAAGGATGTTTTAATAAATCATATAGATTATTTTGTTTAAGGTCAAGTTATTAGCTTAGGAATTTTGCCAGCCTAAATTTGCACAGTAGTGTTCACAAGATAGATAGAATGATTTTTATGGTTACATGTTTCTGGTGTTGAGAATATTTAACAGTAAGCAGTCTTTTAAGGTAATACTATTGCAACCTATATTGAATATCTATGATAGTTCTACTTTAATGGAGGAATAGTTGATGAACTATGAAGTCGTCAACTTGTAATTATGCCTTCCTGCAAAAGAAAGGCAGTGACGAGATTCATCATACAAAAATGTTTTATTTTAATAAATAAGGTGTTTTACAAATGTTATTTTGCCTTAAAAGTAAATTTGTATTGTGGATATTTTTATGCCGTAGGCTGTGTTGCATTATTTTTTTAAAGCAAGTAAATAATTCTGTGAATCTTGAAAAGTCAGGAAGAGGATTTCAACATCATATTTTTAAAGGAATTAGTTATAAAGCTTTAAAAATGTTATAATCACTGTAAACTCTTCTCTCATGAAATCTACTTTTCAAAACCTTGTTTCTGTCATGGAACAAATAAAAAGATGATAATTTGCAATGTCTTTTCATCAACCTGCATTTTATTTTGTAAAAAAAGACCCTCCAATCCCTTGCCAATTGTTGTTGTGGGGGGCCTTAGAGGGCAAAGACTGGACTCAGTGCTGGGGATCTCACCTACCTTGGGCCACAGCCCTCAGCTCAACGAATTTTGAATGGTCTTTTTTCCCCTCCTGCTTTTTTGTTTCCATCCCTTCTCCAACCCCTTCTACTATCCACTTCCAAAGGTGAGAGATCCATGCTGAAAGGACGAAAGGCTGACTGTGCCAGTCCTGAATGGCCTGAGGGAGCCAGGGGCACAATATTCCTGTTTTAGTTGTCTAGCCCTTACCCCTCAAGGGGGCACTCAGCGGTGGGCTGTTTCTTTCCCCAACATTGTCTAGGCTTACCATGGCCAATAATGAAGATGTTATACCCTTGTTAGGAGCAGCGAGGCTTGCCCCTTCATGAAATAGCCCCAGCAATTCAAACTCTCCCGGTTCCCCGGCCCCAGGGTCTCCTTTGACCATGACTCTTGAACACTGCAACTACTACCCACTCCTCAATGCTAACTAGTATGTTATCCAACCAAGTCAAAAGACAGTCTCCAGGAGACATTCCTACTCTACGAACTTCCTCAACTTCACCTCTAACCCTACAACCTTCATCAATCACCCCATCCTCCCTTATTGCTACTTTATAGCCTTATTCTCAACCTCTCCATAATACAACCGCCCTCAACAATACTCCATCTTCCATACGTCACCATCCTTCTACCACCCCCATCTCTAAAATTATCTTATATACTCCATTTAGCCCTGCCATATAGGTCCGATTTTTCTTGACCCCCTTACAGCTCCTTACTCTAATGTCTATATTGTTGGAGAATCCCTCACTGTCCAACCATATCAATCTCCTCCCTGTGAATGTCAAAATGTTGGTGTTTAGAAGTAAGTAATAATGACAAGAAAATATATGTGCTAGACATCAAAGGTCATATAGCACTATGGTATTGTATTGTGTTGGGAGTGTTTATAAATTCTTTATTACAATTAAAATGTTAAGTTTCGACGGTCATTTATTGTATGATAGTATAGTATTTAAAGGAGTAGGAGATGGTAGATGGGAGTAGGATAGGTATTGATGAGAAGAGGAAGGGTTAAGGATGATGGATGATTAGATCAAATGAAGGATATTTATGCATCTGAGGAAGCAGAATAAATTATCAATAAAAAAGGTGCGGGATTCTGTAAGGATGTCTGCCAGGTTGAGGGGACGGGGAAGATGGGATATGTGAGGAAAAGTAAGGATACAGGCTTCGGTAAGCGAGGACAGGATATTAGGATATGTGGGACAGAGAGAAGGACATTGCATGTAGGGCATAGAGGGATGTGACATGAGGTATGAGTGAGTGATTCTGGTGTGGCCTATTCGTAGGCGGGCAAGGGCAGTTTCCCAACGTCTGTTTTGATGGTATGGAGCTGACCAAGGGGAGATTGAGGGTTTTATGGTTTGGACTTTGTTGGTGCACAGACCTGACCAGAAGGATTGCCATCGGTTGTAAAGAAAAGTTTTGAAGTGTGGGTAGTAGTCGGTGGCTGGGATGTGTGAAAAACGGGGTTGGTGACTTGTGGGCAGGGCAGCAGATCATGCTAAGTTATCTGCTTTTTCATTGCCGGGAATCCCGACATGGCTGGGTATCCAGCAAAAATTCACTGTTTTCTGTCATGTAGACAGATAGAATAGCTGGTCGTGTATTTTATGGGCTATAAGGTTGGTAGGGTGTATGGATTGTATGAATGATATTGAGTTGCGTGAGTCTGTGAAGATGGTGAAGGATGAGGAAGAGATGGAAGATATGCGTTGTAGAGCAAAGAGGATAGCATATAGTTCTGTTATAAGGACGCTTGATTTAGGTGGAAGAGGAAAGCTGTATGTCTCAGAGGGAAAGACTATAGCAAAACCAGCACCTGAGTTGGATTTAGACCCATCAGTATAGATATGAGTGCTAGAGGAGTGACGAGATATGAGCAAGGAAATGTGTGAGAAGGATAGAAAGTGGAATGTTTGACTTAGGTAGATCAGGGAAAATAGAAGAGCAATTACAAGAGACTGGTACTAGCTAGGGAGGGAAAGTTTGGGTAGAAAGAGGAAGAATTCGGAGATGAGGAAAGGATGAATGGGAGAGAAGAGCGTCCATACGAACAGGGAAAGGGACAGGTAGTCGTGGAGAGGAAGATAAGATGCGAAAATAAGGTTGAGGGACAGTTAGTTTGGAGAGTGAAAATTGGTGGAAGCAAGCATAGTTTCTTAGGGACAGAAGAGTGCGGCGTCTAGAGAGGGATGGTAGTCCTGATTCAACGTATAGGCTTTCAATTGGAGAGGATCTGAAAGCTCCTAGTGCTAAGCGGAGACTGCAATGGTGGATAGGATCAAGGAGAGAGAGAAGAGAGGCAGAGGCAAAAGAATATATATGGCAACTATAGTCAAGGGTGGAGAGGATTAGAGTAATATGGAGATGAAGGAGTGTTTTGCGGTCTGATCCCCAGGATAGATGGGAGAGGGTTTGTAGTAGTCGGAGGCGATGGCGAGCTTTTTCAATAATAGAAAGGATATGATCCCACCAAGATAACTTGGTCGAAAATAACTCCAAGAAACTTGCCGGAAGATCGGAATTGGATGGGGGTATCATAAAGGAGTGGAGGTTGGGAGCCTATACGTGAACGAGAGAAAAGGATGGAGAAGGTTTTAGAGGTAGAGACACGAAAGCCATGGTTGGTAGCCCAGGAAGAGATTGATGTTGTTGACGACTGGATAAGTGGATGGAGAACTTTTATGGAACGGTCGGAGGCGAAGATGGCTATATCAACTACATACAGTGATGAACTGATTTTTGGTGGTAAAGCGGATATTAATCCATTTACAGCTCTGAGGAACAATGTGGTGCTCAGTACACTGCCTTGTGGGACACCTTCAAATTGAGGAAAGGAGGGGGAAGTGGAAGAGGCAAATCTGATACGGAAGGTGCGGTCAGAGAGGAAGGATTTTAGAAAAACACCCATGTTTCCACATATTCCGTGGAAACATAGTTGTTGTAGTATATGGTGCCGCCAAGTAGTATCATATGCTTTTTCGAGATCGAAAAAGACAGCTACTATTGACTCGCAGCATGCAAATACTGAAGTGATTAGTGTTTCTGCATAGGCTAGTGGGTTAGCTGTGCTTTTGCCTCAACGAAATCCGAATTGGTTTGGTGATATGTTTTGGTGGTATTCTAGGTACCACATTAATCTGAAATTTGTCATTCGTTCCATTAATTTATGTAGGCAGCTTGTTAAGGCTATGGGGCGGTAGTCTTGGGGAAGAGTACCTGTTTTGTTAGGTTTCAAGAAAGGTAGTACTATAGCTTCTCTCCAGTGGGGAGGAAAGTTTTCAGTCGTCCATATGTTATTGGGTATTGAAAGAAGGAAGGATAAGGAAGTAGGAGAAAGGTGTCTTAGCATACGGTAATGAATACCGTCTGGTCCTTCATGGGTGTTGCGGCATGACTGAAGTGCATTATAGATCTCAGAAGAAGAAAAGGGTGCATTATAAAGTTCTGTAGATGATAGGGAGAAGGAGAAAGGAGTGCGCTCTTTGTCTGATTTTAAGGAAGAGAAATGAGGAGAAAGATGAGAGCCACTACTGACTTGGCTAAAAAAGGCACCAAGTTCAGTAGCTACTTGAAGAGGGTCAGAGATGAGGTTATTATGAATATGGAGTAAGGGGGCAGGATGAGGAGGATGTTTTCCGGATAACTTATGGATCCGTCGCCAGACTGCAGAGATTGGTTTGGAGGATACATAGTTTTGCCAGCTGTTTGTCATGGAGTTACGAATTGTACGGTGAAGATGGGCTGATGCCTTTTTAAAGGATATGAAGGCTGTTAGTTGAGTGGGGGTGCCTCTTTTGTGTTGGTAGCTATTCCAAGCTGTGCGCTTCAGACAAAGCGCTTTCGTACATTCAAGGTTCCACCATGGAACACATTTTGAGGTGTAAGGTCGGAATGTTCGAGGGATGGTTATATAGGCTGTATTTAGAACGTTAGTTGTGAAGTTTTGGAGCATTTCTGATGTGGTAGAGAATGATGATGGGGGAAGTTCAAGAGTAGATAGAGAGGTAAAGGTATTCCAGTCTGCTCTGTCAAAGCACCAGCGAGGGGGATTTGGGAGCGGGATATAGGATATTGAAGAAAGAAGAATTGGGAAGTGATCACTAGAGTGAAAATTGTTTAGGACAGACCAGTGGAAGTCTATATGAAGGATAGGAGAGCTAGGCATGAAAAAGATTGAGTGCGTAGGTCAAAATGGGTGGGACTGTTGGAGTTTAGGAGGATAAGGTCAGTTTTAGCTAGAAATTGTTCTAAGGAGCGACCCCTTGTATTGATAATAGTCACCCCAAAGAGTATGACGACAGTTGAAGTCTCCAGCTATTAGGAAAGGTGGTTGGAGTTGGGAAAGTAAGGTCTCAAATTCTAGGAAGTCAATAGGGAGGGAAGGAGAGAAGTAGACTGAAATGATTGTGATCCAGCGGATCTGGATAACTGTGTAAGGTATAGTGGTTTGTAAAGGAGGTATGATATATAGTGTTTTATGATGAACAAGTATGGAAGAAGCAAATATAGAATAAGGGAGTGACACAAAATGGTAGTTGGGAATTGGTACTGGAGGATGTGTGAGGAAGGTTTCTTGGCGGCAGACGATAGATGGATTGTAAGAGGAAAGATGGCGGAGATCAGGTCTGTGTGAGCAAAAGCCTCTAACGTTCCACTGCAGTAGAGCCATTGTGGATCATTCTTTAACTATTATGGGTGGCAATGTGTGTCTGATAGGTAAGAGGAGGGGTATCTGGGGGTTGAGGTATGGGATCAGGGGATGGAGGTGGTAGTGTAGTATCAAGAGAATCTTCATGGGAAGGGGGGTCAGGGGGAAAAGGTGAAGGTATAGAATCTGGAGGATCATCAAGAGAGGTGGGATCTGG